GGGACTGCTGAGCCATGAGCAGTCCTTGGTGCTGGCAGTAAGGGTCCGGCCCCAGGGAGCCTGGGCCTCCTAACAGTGCCACCCTCCCTGGCCCAGGCTCTCAGGTGCACCATCACAGGCCTGACCTTCTGGGACCCCAGCTGCAAGGCTGAGGACAGCGCTGATCAGCTCGTCTTGCGCAGCACCTACTCCAGCTGTGGCATGGAGGTGACCACACACGTGATCAGCAATGAGGTAGGGCTGGGCCAGAAAGGTGTCCCTGCAACTGTCCCCCAGTGCTCCAGGCTGAGGGGTGTTTGGGGGAACAAGGTCTGGCACTCGGTGGCACAGGTGCGGTTTGGCCACAACCATAAGATGGGTGTGTCGGGTTGGAGACCCTCTGGGGTCCTTTCCAGTTCTAAATAGCTCCTTGTTCTGTCTCTGCAGGTGGTGGTCAATTTCCTATCTGGCTTATCACCACTTCGGGTAAGATGGATGGTCACTATGCTGCCACCTGGTCGAGGGGGGGTCTGGTGCTGGGGGCTGGGGCCATGATCTTGTCAACCCAGGTGTTTCCAGTGTGCCTCAGTCTCCCCTTCCGTACACGGTAGATGCTGTGTGGGTTATGCCGTCAGCCTCTCAGGTCGGAGGGTCGTAGCACGCCCTGGCTGTGTGGCTGTGGGCAGATCATTCAACTTAAGGAGATCCTGTCTCAAAATAAAACATAAAAAAGGGCTGGGGATGTGGCTCAGTGGTAGAGTGGCCCTGGGTTCAGTCCCCAGTATGAAAGAAGCTGGTAAGGAGGCGACAAGAGGACTGCTGCCAGCCCGCCCCTCCTTCCTGGTGGTGCCACCCACCTGACCAAATCTCCCTCCTGTGCTCCCACAGAAAAAGGTGCAGTGCATCAACACAGATGGCCTCTCCTTCCGGCTGGGCCTCTACCTCAGCCCACACTTCCTCCAGGCCTCCAGCACCATCGAGCTGGGGCAGCAGGGCTTTGTGCAGGTATTAGGTGGGCCCCGTTACTCCCCTAGTCCTCCGGATTCTCTCCAACATTGCCTCAGAAAAGACCAAAATTAAACTTCCAGAGGAGGGAGCTGGCCTGAGGGCTCGGGAGGGACAGATGGGGATGGTATTGTTCTCAGTCACTGATTGGATGTCACCCTTCTATTTGCTCCAGGCAGACCCTGTCTGTCCTACTGTGAGGATTCAGGGGTGGGAACTCTGCCTTCTGGCTATTTCCAAAGAACAGAGGTGGAGGGTGAAGAAGAGCTGCCCACACCCTTCCCCCCACCTCTCCATGCAGGTGGGCATGTCCCCATTGATCCCTGAGGTCGTGCTTCAGCTTGACAGCTGCCACCTAGACTTGGGGCCTGAGGCAGACACCGTGGAACTCATCCAGGGCCGGGCAGCCAAGGGCAGCTGTGTGAGCATGCTGTCCCCCAGCCCTGAGGGTGACCTACGCTTCAGCTTCCTCCTCCGTGTCTACATGGTGCCCACACCCACAGCTGGCACCCTCAGTTGCACTGTGGCCCTGCGTCCCAGGACCTGGTCCCAGGTGAGTGGAGCCTGGTCCAGGCCGGCTTCAACAGTGGCTTCCAGCTCTGGCAGGGATGTGGCCGTACAGGGGGATGTGGGACCACCTGGTGAGGGGCAGAGCCAGAGTCGTGCTTGTGGTCTGACAGCCGGGCTCTGGGGGCACTTGCTGCCACCTACAGCCTTCTGGGGGGATCACTTTGTCTTGGGCAGAATCTGCAGCTCCAGCTTCCATCTGTCCATTTTCCTTCTGTCCGCAGGTCCATTCATCAATAATCCCACTGTCCCACCCAGACACCTGTCCTTCCCCCAGCAATCTACCCACCCATGTGGTATGATCACCAAAGTGATCCCAATGGACGGGGCCCTAGGAAAGGAGGACACAAAATCCTCACTTTCTGCCTTTGCTGGTGCCAACGCTTCATGGTCCAGTGAATCTTTGCTCTCAGGCACTCAGTGCTGGACACGTTTTCAGGGTCACCCCAGCTCTTTACGTGGAAAGTCCCTCACTATCAAAAACTGCCCTGGTTGTATGAGGCTGGGGGGTCTCTGGGGCTGCCCCTAAGTGGGCCTTTCCCTCTGGCCAGCAAGCCCGGGCCTCCGAGCTGCTCATGGCCTGGCTCATCGAGGTGTGTGCAAGGGTAACGGGCGCCCCACGGTGCCCACAGGCGTCAGGGGCTGCAGGGACTCATAGAAGTCCCTGGCAGGACTGTGGCTTGATGCCATCCCCCAGCAGATCCCCAGGCTCGCCGGCCAGCTCCCAGCTGGACCGTGGTGGAGGCAGGACTCACAGTCAGGGCTTCAGGCTGGGCTGTGACAGCCAGGGGCGCAGGGCCAGGGAGAGAAGGACGCTGCCTCCCAAAGCCTGCGCCACACTCCTCTCTCCCCTCCCCCTCAGGAAGTCCACAAGACTGTCTCCATGCGCCTGAGCATCGTCAGCCCTGGTCCGCCTGGTGAGTTCCCCTGGGTCTCTGGGGTTTGCTCTGTTAGCTGAGTGGGAATCAGGGGACAGCTGAAGGATCTCAGGTGAGAAGCCCCGGAAAGGGGCAGAGTCCCCAGAGTCCCAGTGGCCGGAATAGCACACTGTAGGCTGCATCTTGATGGAGCCTCCGCTGTGACCATCCTGTGGAAAAACACTGCAGGCCTTTGGCTCCTGCCCAGGGCTCTTCTCCACCCCCTTGGTCACTGGCTAACCTTGCTGAGGGGCGGGGCCTGCTGGATGGAACATGAGGCACTGTGAGGGGTACTGGCCTTCTTGCTTCCTTGAGGCCCCCGGTGTGGGAGACACCTCTTCAGTCCAGTGCCCTCCAGTTTCTTCACTAGCTCCCCCAGAGGTGGCAGGCACCTGTCATCCAGGAAGGGTGGTCCCCCAGCCCACAGCCAGGACCAAAAAAGCAGGGCAAATGCTCCCCTGCACAGATGGAAAGTCAGAGGCTCGAGGGGAGGCTGCCTGGCCTGTGGTCACAGGAGACAGGAGGGTGGAAGTACTGAGGTTTGGGACAACTCCTACAGAGCTGAAGTGCCCTGGGAGGTGCTCTTAGCTGGCATAGGGCTCAGAGAGGGGCAGAGGCTGAAGAAAGGTCACTCTGTAGGGCTGGACAGGCTCTGGAGCCCGAGGCCCTTCTCATTCTTTGATGACTGTACCATCCTTACTCCCCAGTAATGCCTCTGCCAGGCTTCGGAGGCCGAGGCATGGCCCAGTAGGCCTGGCTGGCTGGGCCTTCCGGGTGGAGGGTCAGAGCTTAGTGCTGGGCATGGGTGTGGCCAGCCCATCTGCTGAACGAACAGGTCAGGGTCAGTGGCAGACCCAGAACTAGCACCCAAACCCCTGCTCCTGGCCCGCGCAATAGGGCGGGGCTGGGCTGACCACTGCTTTGGTCCTTCAGGCAAAGGCCTGGTCCTGTCCACCGTGCTGGGCATCACCTTTGGCGCCTTCCTCATCGGGGCCCTGCTCACCGCGGCGCTCTGGTACATCTACTCGCACACGCGTGAGTATCCCAGGCCCCCGCAGGGAGCACCCAGGGCCCCCACCACCACCTGGGGCAGCCCGGCAAAGCCTCAGAAGGAGTGGGGAGCCCTGGCTGGGGCCCTGACCTCCGCCCCTGCCCCGCCCCCAGGTCCCCCCAGCAAGCGGGAGCCCGTGGTGGCGGTGGCTGCCCCGGCCTCCTCTGAGAGCAGCAGCACCAACCACAGCATCGGGAGCACCCAGAGCACCCCCTGCTCCACCAGCAGCATGGCGTAGCCCCCAGCCCAGAACCCTGGGCGCCCCCTGCCAGAGAGACTGAGCAGCCCCAGCTGGGAACCACTGGCCACCAACTCTCCCCAGGACCCCAGTGCCTCCACTCAACTGAGGACGGAGCATGCTCTCTGTACCGGCCCTGCCCACCCCCCTCTCAGGGGCCTGCTGCCAGCGGGGGCACCGACTTGGAACACCCTGGGGTCCCCCCACCCCATTCCACAGAACCTCCAAACCCAGGGGCTCTGCGACACAGCTGCCCAGGACCACAGAGGACGAGATGACTGCCTCGTACGTCCACACTGCTGATAGAAACTCCAGTCCCAGCCATTTAACCTGGATGCTGCGCTGGCGAACTGTGCCGCCCAGGCCAACAGCACCTTCGCCAGGGGAAGGAAAAGGGGTCCAGCCCAAGGCCACCTTGACCTGGTGCCCGTGGCTTCCACACCTGAACTGGTACAACTTTGGTGGGGGAAACAGAAGCCAAGAGGCGCCCAGTCTGAGAGTCCAGAGGGCAGCAAGAATAGTGGGGTGAGGGAGCCTAGCTCCCCCCATCACTGCCACATGGTGACCCCCTCCCGGCCACTGGACAGGCAGCAGGTGGAGAGTGGCCAGGCTGCTTGTCCTGGGCTCACCCCTGTATATCCACCATCAATAAATCAGACCTGAAACCCGTGCTGGGCTGGGCTGGGCAAATGGGAGGGGCCTCTGGAACAATGAGGAGGGGGCAGCGTAGAGCAGTGCTGCCCACTAGGATTAGGATGGCATGGTGGCAAATGTGGCGTCTTGAGCAGTAGCAGGTGGCCAGGGCACAGCAGGTTTGATTGAAAGTCCCTTCTGCCACTCACTTGGTGGCACAGCCTTGGGATTGAGGCTTCGAGAGACCAAACACCAGGAGGTGCCATGCCACTTGCTCTGGGTTCAGGACACAAGGCCCCGACAACTCTGGGCTCTAACCCTGGACCTGCTGTTTACTGGGTGTATGACTGTGGGCAGCTCCCACAGCTTCTTGGAGCCAGCCAGTCCCTCATCAACAAACCGAGTACACTCTAGTTCACATGGTCTTTGCAAGGGCTACAAACCAGTACCTGGCATGTGCCCACGAATGTCGGTCCAGGCTTCTCACAGACAGGCCACCTGAGGCTCAGACGCAGAGAACTTAGGCCACTGACCCTGGGCTCCCTCTACACAATCTGGTTCCTACAGCAGCTACAGCCCCAGCCCCCTGGCATCTGATGAAGGAACAAGGTTTTTCCATTAAAAAAAAATTGACAGGGTTTAATTTACTCCAGCCATGCTCTTTCCCAGGGTGCCCAAGGCAGGGGTTCTCTCCTTCTCCAGAGGCCCTGGGAGAAGGAAAGATAGTGCCCAGCCCCAAGCAGAACCCTAAGCATGGCCAGGCAACTCACTCCATGAGCTGAGTCTGAGCCAGGAGGCAGGTGGGGTTGCAGGGAAATGGGCTGAGCTGCAGGCCTCCTACAACCATTGGGGCCCTGGAAGCCCTGCTGTCCTGGCTACAAACAAGGTACAGGACCCCAGGGACAGGACATTCCCACTCCAACACCCACAGCCTGGGTTAGTCTCCCAATCAGGAAAGCAGAAATCAAAAGGCACCTGGTGTAAGTTCGTGGTGCTAAGCCGGGGCAGGTGTGGGAGGCTCCCACCCCCAACCCCACCACCTTGGCTACTGGGTCAAGGAGGGCTCCAACAGCTTCAGGACACCGCCCACAAGGTGCAGGCTGCCCGTGACCAGCACGTGGATCGCAGTAGCCTCGCGGAGCACACTGGCCCCGTTGCTTGCCGTGGGGTGGGCAAGGAGGCCCCTTGGGAGGCTGGGTGGCTGGAAGATGGGGTCCCGGCCTTGGCTGATCCACTGCAAGGCGTGGGAGATGCAGCTGAAGACCAGGGAGCTGGAGCTGCAGGGTCGAGGGCCGCGTGGGGCCAGCCGCAGGGGTGCCGGGCCGCCAGGCTCCAGGCTGGAGGGCCGCCAGAGGTCCCGGCGGGCCTGCTCCTCATCCAGGCAGCTCCAGTGTTGCTGGTGTTGGAGGCAGCGGAGCAGCACCTGGTCCAAGGTCACCATGAAGTTCTGCTGGTCTGTGGGGTATAGAGCCAGGCATGTCAGTGAAGGGGACAGGGACGGGGAGTGGGGAATGAGACAGAAGAAAGGGGCAGGTATGCGGTGTGCACCTCAGTTTAGCATCAGGCTCAGTACATGTCACATCAACAGACTCTGCTGGTGGCCCCCACAGCAGACACGTGAGGAGGCGGAGCCTCAGGCCATTTGAACAACTTGCCTGAGGCCTGGGAGCCAGCCAGAGGGTCCCGCCCACTAAGCTCAGTCTCTCCCCGGGTGGGCCTCACCACCCTCCTGGGCAATGGATGTCCGGGAGGCCTGGTTAAAAAATACAGATTCCAGAACTCTCCCCAGCTTGACGCAGGGCCTGGGATCTGCATTTTTTACAACAGTATTTCAAACTATTTAAAAACATAATGTCCCTAACCCCCGCCCACCCTCAGGGACCACCTCTTTCCCCTCTCACCTGCATTGTCTGTGGATGCCACCTCTGTCAGGTTGGGGCAGAAGACAGCATAGTCAAACTGGCAGGGCTTGAAGACCAAGGAAAAGACATGGTGTCACACTCCTGAGGGGATATCACCCACCCTGACCTCCACATGCCACCCAAGCTCTCTCAAGGCACTGCCCCCCGCTGAACTAGACTGACAGTGCAGAAGCCCAGCCATGGCACCAGCCCACTCCCCTCTGCTTCCAGGTACCTGTCTGGCCTCTGGGTTGGTGACAGGGTACCACCTACTGCGCAGATGGGGGAGGGAGGATTGGGCAGAAATTTGCTTAAGGTCGCCCAGCTAGGGAGCAGGCCCCAAATCCAGAGGAAAGAGCTTGCACAAATAGACAAGGTTCTGGACATGAACAGCCCCAGCTCCTGGGTGTGTGAAATGGAAGATGATCTCTAAGAGCCACTTCAGCCCTGATAGGCTGGGGTCCCCAAACATAGGCGGTATCTTAGTGGCAACCCGATTTCATGGAGAGGCATGTTGAGGCTCAGGAAAATGCCACTTCTTGTCCAGGGTCACATGCCAGTGACTAACGGGGCATGGCATGTGAGTGCAGAGCTTGCACCTTTAACCACCACGTGGCCCTCCCCGAACCCTGGCCAAGTCCGACTCCCCAGAGTGCCTCATGTTTGCACTTGACCCTCAGTACAATTCAGGGGAAAGCGAACGGAGCTGAGGAGATCCAGGTTCCCACAGCGAGAACCAGGGCTGCTGGGCTGCTGGGCACCCCTCACCTGCAGCAGCTTCAGTAGGGCTGCGGGGTCCCTGTCGCCAGTGGAGTTGAAGAGCAAGACCCGCACCTCAGGCCCACTGCACCAGGGGAAAGGAACCAGACCAGGGTCAGAACAGCACCTCCAGTCCCTTCTTTGTGGTCCTGCCCCAGCCCTACCCAAGGCCCCGCCCCTGCCATCCTCACCAGTTGGGCCTCTCACTGCGCTGCAGGGCCTGGCGAAACCAACGCACGCAGGCCTGCACACTGCTGGTGGTGTGCGCCCCGTCCAGGTACCAGGTGAGGGGCCCCCGCCGCAGCACTTGCGTCCGGCCTGGCCACTCAGTGTCCCGAAGCCCTGGTAGAGGCAGGCAGTGCTCAGGATCCTCTCCCACCCTAGTCCTCAGCTCTGCGCAAACTGCAAGCACACTGTCCCCACAGGCTGCCACTGCTAAGGGGCATCAACCCAAGAGCTTCTTACGGGTGTTAGTTGTTGGGTTTGAGGCTTAGCCTGCCTCACCTGGTGGAACCTTCCAGGCCACCCTGAGAAGGGGCTGCCATCATACACTAGCTCCACCTGACAGCTGGAGAGCCCTGAGCACTCAGTGCCAGGGCGGGGCTAGGCTGTGGTCCGAGATCTGTTCCAGCACTGTCACTAACCCCTGACAGCCAGCCGGGCACAGTGGGTATGTTGAAACCATCTGTTGAGGGGTGTGACAGTATGAGCACCTACTATGCATTGAGGGCTTCTAGGAGGACAAGAAGTAGATGGCCTGATGATGACAATGACAGGGACAGTAGCTACCACTGGCTGGGCACTTCTCCCACATCTTCCAGGCCCTGGGCTCAGCACCTTACTGATGCCACCTCAGCAAATCCTCACAACAGGCCTGGCAGTGGGTCCTGTCATTGTCATTTAGCAGATGGGAAACTGGGGCTCAGACAGATTCGTGAACTCAAGGTCAGGGAGATACAGACCCTTAGGCACCCTCTCAAAGTGACCTCCCAAACAGGAAGCCAAAAGAGACATCTGAAGGGGCACAAAGACGCGTGGTGGTCCTGGCTGGGCAGGAAGGTCCGACTCACCGTGCCGCATGTGGGATGTGGGCTGGAACACGGGTGCCAGGGGCAGCGGCCATGGCACACTTGGTCTGGACACCTTCAGCTTCCCGACGTCTGTGGAGTGTGTGAGGCCCATCATGCTCAGGACCCTCAGAGGCAGGCTCCCATGACTGCCCCCCACCTGCCCACTCGCCAGGCCACTCACCCTGGTGGTCCCGCCACTGCAGCCAGCAGTGCGCCAGCTGCAAAGCCAAGGCCGCGTTGGACCGCTGGTGCTCTCCCTCCAGGCCCAGGGTCAGTGGCTGCCCCCCTTCCTCCAGGGCTTCCAGTGGAGGGCACAGGTAGAGAGGACACTGCAGGGAGATGGGCGGCAGGGGGTCAGCAGAGTTGCCACCGCCACCTTGAGTAGAAAGCCCTCCCATGCCTATCTATCAGAGCCCACGGGGCCCTGCTCCAGAACCCAGAGATATTCCAGGGGACAGCAGCTGCAGGGCTGGGCAGCTCCCGCACTGCAGGGACAAACACACTGAGGTCCCCAGGAGAAAGCGCCTCTCCAGCCAGCCCAGACCCTCCCCGCCCACCACCGCCCCACCCAGTCCCACTCACTGAGATCTGCTGGGCTCGATCCCTCAGCACAGCCAGGGGACCCTCTGGCTGGAGCACGGTGAAGGCAGGGACGGCATGCTGCATGGGCCAGAAAGAGTGAGATGGGCGGCCGGGGTCTTCCACCCTTCCCTCTCTGGCCCCCACAGATCTGGGTATGAACCGCCACTCAGCCTCTCGTCCCTTGTGTTTCAATGGGGAGACTGAGGCCAGAGAAGGGCACAAGCTGCTCCACGCTGTGAAGGCAGGACAAGAACCCAGACCCTGCTCATGGCCAGGACCTTGCCCTGAGTCAGGACACAAAGGCCTGTCCCAGCCCCACTCCTCTACACCTGGGGCCAGGGCCAGGCCCCCATGTACTTCCCTGCCCCCAGCCTGCCTGATCACCTTAAATATGCCCCCTTTCTGCCATGCAATCTTCTCCACTGTGTCCCCCAGAAGGCTGGTGTGGTCGATGCCGAGAGAGGACACTCCACACACCACAGGTTTCCTGCAGAAGACAAAAAGGTCAGGACGCCCCACCCTGAGCCACTGGGCAGCAGAAGGCCTGGTTCCTAGACCCACTCCAGTCCATAGACGCTGCCTTCACCTGATGATGTTGGTGCAGTCGTAAGCCCCGCCGATGCCCACCTCCACCACTGCCAGGTCCACCTGCAGAAAACCAGATGGCAATGGCAGTAGTAGCAGGTACACCGATGTCATCTAGAACCAGGAGTCCCAGCCTACTGAGGTCCTGTCCCCAATGCCTCAGATCCAGTGTTCTGGGAGTGAGCACACACCTTCTCTTGGAGAAAGACGTGGAAGGCCATGAGTGTGAGGAAGCGGAAGTAGGCGGGCATGGAGACACAGCTGCCATCCTGTGGCACAGAAACGCATTAGGGTCCGGGCCCCCACAGCCCCTGCTCTGGGATGATGGGGTCTTAGAATGTGTAGCACCCCCTACCCCACCCTGGCATGGGCACCTTGGTCTTCTCCAGCTGGTGATAGAGGCGCCAGAAGTGCTTGGTGAAGAGCTCAGGGCTGATGGGCTGCCCATTGATGCGGATCCGCTCACGCACCTGCACCAGGTGGGGAGAGCTGCCGGGAGACGGGTCATCGGGACTCCCTTTCCAAGCCCCAGGGCCTTCCCCTGCCCTGCAGTCAAACTTGTCTTTGGAAAGACACATCTGACCAAGTCACTCCCCTGCTGAATATCCTCCCAAGGCTCCTGATGCCCTCAAGACAGACCCAGCTCCTCGCACACCCTCTTAGGCCCTGCAGAGGCTGATGTCCTGGTCTCTAGGCCTCACCTCTCCCTGCCCCTGGGCTTCTCCCTGTTCCCCACTCCCTCTGGGCTGTTTTTAGTCCCTCCAGCCCCTATCTTCCCCTTTCTGTCTCCAGGCCCTTGCACTGCACTCCCCGCATCATGACCTGGCCCACCCTACATCACAGGTCTCAAGTAAGACACCCCCTTCAGAGGGAGCGAAAGGTCCCTCACTCTCATCATGGTCTAGCCTGTTCTGAGGGCTCCAAAAATCCCCTGCTCTCCCCATCACACACCAATCAGTCACTCTGCTAACACATGTCTATCTTTCTGCCCTCAAGGACAAGGCCCATTCTTTTATGTTTATGCCACATCTCTGGGCGGCCACAAAGACACATGGACCCAAGCAATAGTTAAGGCTTCTACCCAAAAATCTTATTTTAGAAGACAGATCATTGCCTTATATGTAAGTGTCACATAACAACATTTTGGCCAACGGATGGAACACATAATCCTGTAAGATTACATCACGTAGTGATATCACATCTTAGCTGTATAAGTACTGTTTGGCTTGGATCTGGAGTGTCCCCCCAAAAGCTAAGGTGTTGAAAGCATGGTGGCCAGAACAGAAAGGTTCAGAAGCAGGGCTTTTAGGTAATGATAAAATCATGAGGGCTCTGACCTCATCAGTAGATTAATCCATTTACTGGATTAATCCACTGATAGGTGAATGGACTACTGGAAGGCAGGACCTAGTTGGAAGAAGTATATCAAGGGGTGTGCCTGCTCTTTCTCTCTCTCAGCTTCCTGGCTTCCAAGAGCTGACAGCTTTCCTACACCTCACCCTTCTACCATGATGTTCTCCCTCGCTCAGGCCCAGAGCAATGAAGTTAGATGACTGTGAACTAAACCTTGAGTGAAAATAAACTTTTCCTTCTCTCAGTTGTTCTTATCAGGTATTTTGGTCATACTGATGGAACACTGACTAACATAAGTCTATCTGTGATGTTTGTGCAACAAAACTGCCTACTGACACACTTCTCAGCACATCACTAAATGGTGTGGCTGGATTTGAGTCGCTAAATACCCTCTCACACTGAGCCCTTCTCTCCATTTCTTTTTTCCTTTCCGCCCCCACCCTCCCTCACTGTGGCATTGGGGATTGAATCCGGGGCCTTGCAGCTGACCTCACTCTGGTTCCACAGCCCCCAGAGAGCTAGGAGACACAACCTTCCCAACTCAGTACCTAAAGAATCCTGTCTTCAGGCCATAATTCCGGAGGATATGTTCAGTGAAGGCACAGGTGGAGCCCTGGAAAGAAAAGGTGTTACGTGGACAGGCCCTACTCCACCAGCCTACCAAGTGGACATTGACCCATGGGTCCTGCCCCTCACCTTCCCCTTGGTCCCAGTGACATGTATGATATTCAGTTGGTCCAAGTCCTCCACCTGGAACAGAGAGATGAGGTCCCCACCTCAGCCACGGCATTCTCAGGCAGACTGGGGGTGGGGGTGTCAAGAGTAGTCACAGGCTTTTCCTTCATTACCTGCAACCCACTCCGTGCCAGGTACACCTCCATGGCTTCCAGCTGTGTCTGTGGATCACCCCGTTCACGCTTCACCTGCTCCAGGTAGCTGGCATTGGTCTGCAGGGTGTTGAGCATGCGCACAGCATCCTGGTAACCACAGTCCCCAGGTAGCAGATTAAGGTTCACTAAGGGTTCTTAGGGACACAGGCACCCAGCATACCAGTGACCAAGCCAGGGTACTAGGCCTACCAAGACAGCCCTTCTGCCCCAGCCCATAGGTTAAGCAATGGGGAGAGAGCAGTGGCATCTTTCCAACTCTGGCAAGGATGGGAGCTTACGGCAGTTCAACCCCACCCAGGGAGTGCCAGGCAGAGAGGGCAGCAAGGATAACGGAACCAGCTTTGCTTCCTGCTCTGGCTTCCAGGACCTTATCCACTGGGTTTTCACCCTCATACTTGGCCCTTATGAGGCTTGGCCCTCATTCCCTCCACCACCATACTGGCTCCTACTGGGCTCAGGCCAGAACCACATGCTAGGATCTTAGAATTCTGGAACTCCTGGAGAAGTTAGATTCTACATCTAATCCTGAGGACTCTGGGGTTCCACATTCTGACCCAGAGCACAGCTGCCTGAAGCAACCAGGTGGAGAAGAGCAGGGTCTTCCATCAGAAGGGCCAGGTAAATTCCACATCTGGAGAAGCCACAGGGCATGGGGAGTAGGGGTGCTGTTTATATCCCCTCAGGCCTCAGATCCGTGACTCTTGCCCTCGAGGCTTCGTGGGTAGGATGGAGGCCCCATTCCCCTCAAACCAGTGCCACCAGCCTGCCTGGCCTCAGGTTCTGGTCTCTGGTCACCAGGTCCTGGCACAGCACCCGCACATGTTTTCAGTGTTCCTGATTCTTGGGCCCTCCAGGGCCCCTGATTCCTGCTCGCCCCACCATTCCAGGCCCTTGGGTCCCTAATTTTCTGAATCCCGGAGACAGCGCCCCCATACCCCCGAATTCCTTCCCCCAGCGCCCCCAGCACTGATGGCGCAGACTCGGGAGTTGCTGTTATTCCTGAGACCAATTGTGCCTCTGGATCTCTCGATCTTATCACCAACGTCCCTTCCCTCTCTACTGGGGGACACTAACAGCCTAAGAATTCCCAAATCCAGCGACCGGAGCCCAACTTCCTGTTCCCTGTCCCCGCCCCCGGAGTCCCCCGTCCCAAGCTGCCCGTTTCCCCAAAGCTGGCGGAGTCCGGCCCACGTGTCACTGCGCCACCGCCCCCCGCCGGCCCCCCAGCTACCTGATACTCCATGCCGGGCTCCTGCGGCGCAGGCCGCGCGCTCAACTCCCGCCGCGCCGCGCCCTCGGGCGTTGCACCACGCGCAGGCACAGCTGCCAGGGACAGAGCCGCACGCAGGTGGCTCCGCGCCCACCACATAGTCCCGGTGCGCGGGAGAGCTAGGCCGGGCGGGAAACGCCCGCCCCGCCCTGACGCGCCCCTGCCCTCGGCCAATCAGCGCCGCCCAAGACCTCCTCTGCACCAATAGGAATCGGCGCCTTCCCCTGAGCAGTCCTGGTAGGGGGGCAGGACCCCGAGCGCCCGGCAGCTCCGAGTGCTTCCGAGGCGCGCTCCCCTCGCGGCCTTTCGTTTAAAGGGATATGCACTCCTTTAGTCACCACCCTCGGTAGGACCCTGCCACACGTCCCAAAATAGCCAGTCCCTGTCAGCAGCCCTCAGCCTCTGCTCCCGGCCCGGACCGAGTGACAGAGCTGGCGGACACCTTGTGGAGGTCACCGAATTCCGATCCCGAAAAGCCCCCATTCGGGGCAGGCACCGGGGATGCGACCTCTGGCCTCGGGAATGTGACAGCCCGGGCTTCTAGCCTCTAGGAGCCCCTAACCGACCCTGAGGGGCTTGGGAAGGCTTCCTGGAGGAAGCGACGTCCCAGCTGGAGCCTATGGGGTGTGGGGAGAGATTTCCAGGCAAAGAGGGGAGCCGTGTATGAAAAGCAAAGATCAAAAACTGGGCGCTTTCACCTGGCTGCTCCCAGTACCGGGACGCCGGATTTACTGCGGAGCCTCAGCGCCATAAAGAATTTGGATTAAATTTGATGGCATTAAAATGGTTTTGTGGAGGAAGGACATGATCGGATTTGTACTTGGGAAGCGCCCTGGGGCTGTGTTATTGTATGGAGAATGGGTTTGAGGGGCATGGGGGAGGGGAAATTATAAGTGAAGGCCAAGGCCTTGGGCAGGTAGGTCGCCTGTCCTGTGAACCCCTGTATCCCATAGTTTCTGAGAATGAGTTTCAGACTGAGGCTTGGAATTTTGTTTGTGCCGTACTGGGGATTGAACCTTGGGTTTTAATTTTGAGACACTGTCTCGATAAGTTGCCCGGGCTGGCCTCAAACTTGTGATCCTCTTACCTCAGCCTCCCAAATTGCTGGGATTATAGGTGTGCACCACTTGCCCAGCAATGCTGGGAAACATTCAAGTGTCAAAATTTAAGGGTGAGAAGTGGGGGTAGAATGGATTTCTATTCTTTTCCTTATTAAAACTTTTTATTTTGTATTTCAGTTCTAATATTTTTGCAGTATAACACATCATATCAAACAAAGTTCCAGAAAGGTGTACACAAGAAAAACACCTCGGGGCTGGGGATGTGGCTCAAGCGGTATCGCGCTTGCCTAGCATGCATGCTGCCCGGGTTCGATCCTCAGAACCACATACAAACTAAGATGTTGTGTCCGCCAAATACTAAAAAATAAATATTAAAAAAATTCTCTCTCTCCCACTCTCTTTCTTTAAAAAAAAAAAAAGAAAAAGAAAAACACCTCCTCTCCAGGAGCCCAAGTGCTGCATCCTGATTCCTTCCCCAAAAGCAATCAATGTTATCAGTCTTGTGATCTTTCCAAAGATATTTTATGCATTTACGAGCAATTAAAAATATGTGTTAATTTTCCTTTTATGCTCATATATAGCATCAGGCTATGTATAGGTGAGTCTGCACTGTACATATTCCATAACCCCCCCCCTTTTTTTTTTTTTTGAATAGGTATATTTACTTGATTTTTTTTCCTTAATGATTTGTATTTACATTTCTTTCCCCCTTTTTTTTTTTTTTGGTATCAGGAATTGAACCTGGGGAACTTAATTACTGAGCTACATCCCCAGCCCATTTTAGTTGTTGATGGATCTTTATATTTGGTGCTGAGAATTGAACCCAGTGCCTCACACATGCCAGGCAAGTGCTCTACCACTGAGCCACAGTCCAGCCCCCCAGCCCATTTTTATTTTTTAGTTTGAGACAGAGTCTCATAAATTCCTTAGGGCCTTGCAAAATTGCTGAGGCTGGCCTTGAACTTGCAATCCTCCTGATCTGCTGGGAATACAAGTGTGGGCTACTATGCTCGGCCCATAACCCCTTTTTCCCCTTCCTTTCATGGTGCTGGGATCATGCTAGGCAAGTGCTCTCTTGCTGAGCTTCATCCCTAGCCCTCTACAACCCTTATCCAGGACCTCATTTTTTTTTTTTTTTTTGGTAGTTAGGGTACTCAACCACTGAGTCACATTTCATTTAGAGACAGGGTCTCACTGAGTTGCTTAGTGCCTTGTGTTGCTGAGGCTAACGTCTGCCTCAGCCTCCTGTGCTGCTGGGATTAGGGGCACACATCATCATACCTGGCAGGATCTCATTCTGAACTGTGTTAGTATACAAGAGCTACCTCGCTGACTGATTTGTGTTTCTGAAGCCGCCAGTTCTCCATGGTGTGGAAATACTATTGCATGTCTGGCTGGTCCCCCAGGAGTGGATGCTCAGGTTATTTTCTATTTTTTTTTTAAGAGAGAGAGAGAGAGAGAGAATTTTAATATTTATGTTTCAGTTATTGGCGGACACAACATCTTTTGTTTGTATGTGGTGCTGAGGATCGAACCCGGGCCGCACGCATGCCAGGCGAGCGCGCTACCGCTTGAGCCACATCCCCAGCCCGCTCAGGTTATTTTCAATGTTTTGCCATCAAGGGTTCAGCACATAACTTTACCCTCACTGTTTCTTGCAGCCAAAGGATCAGTTCCAAGAAGCTGGGTCAAAGGTTATTGTACTTGACATTTCTATACACAGTGCCACATTATCCTCTTGAGAGTGGGTGCCCCTCTGGCAGGGTACAAGCCAGCAGTTTCCTCGCATCCTATTGACACAGCCTGTGCTTACCAATGTAATGGTAAGGAGGGGTGGTACCAGGAACTGAACCAGGGGTGCTTAACCACTCGGCCACATCCCCAGCCCTTTTTATTTTTTACTTAGAGACAGGATCTTGCTAAATTGCTGAGGCTGGCTTTGAACTTTTGATCCTCCTGCCTCAGCCTCCGAAGCCTCTGGGATTACAGGCGTGTGCCACTGTGCCAGTGTTCATTTTTGAAACAGGATCTCACTAAACTACCCAGGGTGGCCTTGAACTTGCAATCCATTGCCTCAGCCTAGACTAGGTAGACTAGATTATAGACACGTGCCACATGCCTGGCTTCTTTGTAACTTTTGGATTTTGAACTATGTGGTGGTATTGCCATTTCAAAATAAACTTTAAAAGAGTGTTATCACTTGCCTAGCATGCGTGAGGCACTAGATTCGATTCTCAGCACCACATACAAACAAATGAAATAAAGGTCCATCAACAACTAAAAAAAAGAATGTTATAAGCAGGGCATGGTGGCACATGCCTGTAATTCCAGCAATTTGGGATCAGGCTGGGCAATTTAGCTAGACCTTGCCTGAAAAAAAAAGGGTGGGGGTGGTGGCTGGGGTTGTGGCTCGGCAGTATAGCACTCACCTAGCACATGCGAGGTGCTGGGTTTGATCCTCAGCACCACATAAAAATAAATAAATATTGTATCAAACTACAACTAAAAAAATAATGTTTAAAAAAAGGCTGGGGAGTTAGCTCAGTGGTCAAGCGCCCCCTGGACTTACTTCCCATAATGCAAAAGAAAAAAAAACAATGAAAAGTGTTATGAATTATGATTTAAAAATGCTGGAGCCTGGGAACATAGTTCAATGGTAGAGCACGTGTCTAGCATATGCAAGGCACTGGGTTCAATCCCCAACAACAAAACATTGTTCATAGAGCAAGCCTAGTGATGACTAGTATGGATATTACTCTTTAAAATAATTATAATTTAGGAAACAGCTGGGAAGTATTCTCTAAAAGCTGACAGTGATTAGCTCTGGGTAGTAAGACTAGAGATGACTATTTTTTGTGTGTGTGCTCCCTTTGTCCAAGTACCAAAAAAAAAAAAAAAAAAAAAACTCTCAGGTCTCCTCCATGCCAAGTGCTAAACCTTAGCACAACTCCCCCATTTTATAGGTGAGGAAACAAAACCAGAGAGGAATCACCTGCTAAGGTCATAGCTGGCAAGTGGCAAAGATTCAGCTTAAATCCAGCTCTGGTTGATTTGGGTGGGTCCTGATCCCAGTCCTCTAATCAAGCTGGGGCTACCTGGCTACTGTTATTTATTTGTTTTTTAAGATTTCTTTTTTAGTTGTAGATGGACACAATACATTTATTTTATTTTTTTTTATGTGGTGCTGAGGATTGAACCCAGTGCCTCACGCATGCGAGGCAAGCGACCCACCACTGAGCCACCACCCCAGCCCCTCCCTGGCTACTGTTTTTAATTTGTTCTCTCTGGATTGCACTGGGCTGAGACTGTCAAACCCATCAATTCATTTAATCCTCATGCTGTCCCTCAAGGGAAGGGTGTATTCTGAGATCCATTTCTCAAGGCAGACAAAAAGGGCCTAACAGCAAGAGTGGCTTAGTCACTTAGAGAATCTGTAACATCAGGCGCCAAGCTCCACCCCCACGTCAATCCTGGTCCCTGCTCCCATCTGGCCTGTGCCTTGGAAGGTGACTAGGGTCACCTGGTCATCAGGGTCTTGAGCTGGCTTTTACTTGAGGGAGACCCCATGGCTGGTGAGAAGCCCCCGGG